CCCTAGCCCTCACCTTAGGGTGGGTTGTGGTACACCAAAGGTAGTTATGGGGGTTTGAGACCCTGAGGAGGAGAGTTGGAGGCCAGGTGTGGCCAAGGCTGCCTGAGCCCTGCAGGGGTTTGAGACCTCAAGGAGGAGAGTTGGGGCCAGGCATGGCTATGGCCACCTGAGCCCACCTGTGAAGGGAAGCCCTGAGACCCCAAGTAAAGGGGGTGTTACAACTGCATGTGGAGCCCCCAGTGTGAGGGGGGCCAGTGTTGTAGAACCACAGTAAGAGGGGGCAGTGATCAGAAGCCTGAGAGAGAGGGTGATGTGGAGCCCTGTGAAGGGAGAGGGGGGCTCAGCCAGAGGGTGAGAGAGCTGAGGCCTGACCCCAGTAAGTCCTCCAATGCTGGGAGGCAGAGTTGGGGTCAAATATAACATCTGAGCCCCAGTTGAGAGAGTGCTGTGCTGAGAAGCCCCAGTTGAGAGGGGGGCCAGTGCTGTGGAACCACAGTGAGAGGAGGCAGTGATCAGAAGCCCCAGAGAGAGGGCAATGTGGCCCCCTGTGAAAGGAGAGGGGGCTCAGCCAGAGAGAGCGAGAGCTGAGCCCTGACCCCAATAAGTCCTCCCTCATTGGGAGGCAGAGTGTGGGTCAAAGATAACACGGGACATAGCACCATGACCTCCTGCCCAGGAGGGGAGTGAGTCCCCTGTGAGCCCCTGAGGCCTCAGTCATGGTGTGAGGTACCCAAGCTCCCCACATCTGTAAAGGAGGACCCAGAGAGGGGGACCCTGCGATAAAAGTATGGGTCATACATCAGGGCCTGCCAGAGCTTCCCCTGACTGGCCCAGGTGGGGGCCAGGACCAGGAGGGTCAGAAGGGCGAGGAGACCCACTGAGAGGGATGCCCAAGAGCCTGGGGTCCCGACTGGCCTGGAGGTGGGCTGGGGCTAGTGTGAGCCGAAGGTCCCAGTGAGGGGACCACACCCAAAGGGGAACCAATGGCAGGGTGCTATATGGCCTGGTATGACGGTGGCAGAGTCTGCCTGAAGGGAGGAACCCAGATGGGGTCCTACAGTAGGATTCTGGGCCCCATCATGGGGGACTGGCGCATATGAGAACATCATGATGTCATCAGCGAGGCTTGGGCTGCTGTGTAGGGGAGGAATGGAGCTGCAAATAGCGCCCCCTAGCAGCAGGGCAGAAAATGGGCAGCCTCCTGTCTAATTACATCTATTAATTAATTAATTAAGACCAAGGTGTGGTGGGCAAGAAAGCAGGTGGTTAGCCCAAGAACAGGTGGGCGGGCCTCGCAGAAATTGGCCCCAGTAGCCCCCCGTTACATAAAAGGTAACAAAAATCATTGTTTTCTTCCTTTGCTATAGGATGCTAACAATTACACTTTACCAAAATGGGCCACTCAAGGTGTCAGGGACAAACTGTTAAAGCTCTCAGAATTGCTGTTATGGGCAGAATTTGGGATCCACAAACAAAGACAGAAGTCACGTCTGCAGGGTGGTAAGCAAAATACATATTTCTAAATGGGGCATGACTGTTGAAAAGATGAACAGTGGACAGTAGTGTTACAGTGATGTTGTTGTTATGATGGTGCAGGAACTGTGAGAGGCAAGTATTGTTGTGGGTGATATCTTGTATTGGATGAACTACAGGTTGACATAGCCCTGGAAAAAGCTTTTGAATGCAATTTATTATTTATCAGATCAAATGCATTGCATTCAAAAGTTTGTCAAAGGCTATTACAACCATGTAGTACGTCTAATATAAGAGAGATCACCCACAACAGTCCTTGTCTCGTAGACTGAGCAATGAAATTTATGCCAGATTACAAATTTGAAAGATGGCCTATATAGTATGTTACATGTTTAATCATGATTACCTCTGTATGGTGACCCCTGAAGTATTTGGATTTAATCAACATGCACTGAAGGAGGAAGGGGCATGTGACAAAGGTATGTTCATTTAGCATTGTAAAGGAAACATCATTCATTCAGTTAAATGAATAAATTCAAACACTTACTGAAGTGAGTCCAATCTGAATTTGATGTCACAAGCCACATTTTAGTTACTTATGTCCTACAGTACATTAATTGTAATAAAGCACAACAGTAATATACTGTGTTTTCTCACATACAACATGCCTCCAAATAAAAAATGCATCTTGTTTTTAGAAGGCAGACTGGAGAAATAAATTGTTTTGAGGTCATGGCCAACTTTAACATAAAGCAATTCTTTCTGGAAACAGTGTTTTAAGAAGTGTGGTATCCCAGGGGGACACTTTTCTGGAATGCCACAATTCCTGGATATTTTATGTTTCTAGGATGACTTACTCTGTGTCACACAAGACCCTTGTAAAGACAGTAATAAGACTGCTAGTTCTTGACTGTAAGCAGTTCTTAATTTATGAGAACTTATATAAAGTGCTGTATCTACATCACAAGCCTCATCAAGATACTACCAGCAGTTCACTCACTGTTCAGGCATAAACTACAGTGCTCAGCCAATACCTATGGCTATGACAGGGTTAACAAAGGACTTTGCCCTTTCAGCTTGCTGAACCAGACAAGTGGCAGCAAGTTTGAACTTGGCACACTGTCTCCAGGCATGCTTCTTTTCCAGTGAAGAAAACAGCTTCCTGGATTAAGACATGCATCCCAATTTTGGAGGGCTGATTTTGAGCGAAAGATGAGCATTGTGTGCAAGAAAATACAGTAGTTGTTTGCTGGTCTTTATACTAGACCAGCACTGATACCCAAAGGAAAATAATAAGAAGTTTCCAAGAAGCATTCATCATTCTGTTTTTATTGTATATTATTTAAGGTTCAGAAAACTAAGTTGTTTATACCAGTTTGCCTTTTCCTTCTTCATGAAATGCACCACAGCGCTGGGCGCTTTGAAAAGTGCCTGGCACTGCAACGTTTGCAGTTGTATAAGCAGCAAAATGCACATCAGCACTGAGAGAACTGAGGTGGCATGCTTTTGAACTGAAACACCTGGAGATGCTTTAGTTCAAAAGTGCAGCACTGCCATTTTCTGCACACTGATGCATTTTTCACCACTTGTACAACTGCATGTGGCACAGCGCATTGTACATTAACTTGCATGCGGAGCAGACTTAATTAATCGAGTCTGCTCTGAAGTGGCAGATCTCCAGTGAGTCGCCAGACAAAAAAACTTTGTGTATAAATGCCCTGTGGACTTCAAATGGCATTTAAATGACTGATATACAATCAGGCTATAAACTATGAAGACATGGAATGGCTAAGCTATGCCAAACTTGTTTGCTTTCCGTGTTTTGTTTGTTTTTAAGTTTTTTGTAGTTTTGAAACTTACAAAACTTAAAACCAAATTCAAACCTTTGTATTTACCTGACCATGACTCATGATTAAAATTCTGCCATAAGCTGAAAGGAACAGATCTGTTTAACTTTGCAAGCACATTTAGCTGTAGTCAGAGGAATTCCTCTTTGTGGGGAATAGCTGTTAAGATATTAGCACTGTTACTGATTTAATATTTACAGCTTGTCTTACATTTTCCCAGAGGTGATATTGGCAAAGTACTAACAGCTGTATGCTTTTCAAGATTGTATTGCTCCTGATTCTCCTCTATCTTACACACAAAGAAATCAGGAAAATAATGGAGTTACATGAGTGAGAGGGACAGACTGAGTAATAAACATCTTTCTGAACTATTCAGATCACATGAAGCAGCTTTGAACCAGATAAGCTAGCTCCGAGCTCTCCAACTTGTGGCCTGTGAGTTGTACGTGGCCCCTGGGCAGTTGAACGGCAGCTTCCAAGCTCCTGGCCCAGGTGCCACTCTCCCCTTTGCTCTCTTGCTGCTGCCAGCAGAGTCCCTGGGCTGCTCCTCCCTCCTCTAGTTCCTGTTGCCTACACATGCCCCCAGAGTGGTCCACAGGCCTGAAGGAGCCCATGGGCAAAGGTCTCAGGGCCTCTCATGCATGCAGGGGGCCTGTATGGCAGGGTGGGGGAGGAGAGAAGTTGGGCTTGTGCAGCATGGCATGGCACATCATGGACCCCTGTGGTACAGCAGAGGATGGTTCATTCATTGCACTAAAAATTAGAAGCTCCTGCAACACAGAAAGGACACTCTCCCAGTGGACTGGGGACTCATGCAGTGCAGTGCAGTGCAGAAGCCTCACAACATGATGGCAGGGAGCGTGTGCAGCCTTGTTGTGGGGAGGGGAACGTCTGGGGGTCCTGCAGCCCCAGGTCACTCAAAAGTTGAACAGCCCTGAGCTAGCTTATGGTTGTTATTATTACTGGAAGTCTGATGGTGACCTAGCCCTAAAAATAGTGTACACGGGAGCAGAATCAAATTCCCTACTCATACAAAAGTGGGTGACATTCCCCAGTAAATTCCAAAAAGTAGGTACAAATCCTGCCAAGCCTGCTTGTTATGCCATAAGGATACAACATTACCACTCCTTCGTATTAGGAACCCACTAATACGCATTTGCTATGCAATCATTGTCTTGTTTCCCAATTTCCTCCCAGGTATTCTCTTAAAAGCGATTCTGAAACATCTCTCAGATGCTAGAAAACCTTCAAACCAGCGAAAGATGATTATCTATTCTGCCGTGAGTACCTTTTCATGGTAGATTTTTTGCAGTTATTAACTACAATAAATGACCTCTGGCTTCATATGCAGCAGATTACAAGAGTTGCAATGCTGTTATTTCTGGCCAGCTTTAAATATTTCATGATTATCTTAACTTATTTACTTAGAAAAATGCAGCTCATATATCCGACATTCTATTTCCTAGTCCAAGTGGTTTATTTCATTTAAAGCTGTTTTGACTGGTAAATAAAACAACTCAAAAGATTTGTCCAGGCTCTTTCATTGATCCAATAGCACAACTCTGATCTTCAAACTGGTGGTCTGTTGCTCTTCAAATAACATTTTTTTTTTTCTTCTCCTCTTTATTTTAAATTAAATTCAATATTTCTAAAAGACACTAGATTCTGTCTTGCATATGGAGGTTTTCTACATATACACAGAACATGATCCTGGTAGCAGTCTGCTCCCACCCCCTCTGGTCCTGCACCAGTCCCCTGCAGCAGTCAGGGGAAGCTGTAGGCTCCCAGGGGCTGACAGGTATCACAGGGCCAGGACAGAACAAGGCTGGGAGATTGTCCCCTGCCTGCTCCTGAGGCAGTCTCTGGTGGTGAACCCTGGGTGGGGACAATGTCCCTGTGCCCCAACACCAGGGAACTCCCAGCCCTGGCTCCCTGGTTGGTGGCAGGGGGCTTGGAAAGAGCTGTAGGGGTCTCACAGCTAGCTGCCCCACCAGTGAATCAGGGCAGGGGGCTGGGACCCATCCCTTCCCCACAGCTCTTTCCAAGCCCCATGCCTCAATTGCTCAATCCAGGCATGAGGCTGGGAAAAAGCTGCCAGGCTGGGACCAGCCCCTGATCAGGACAGATCCCAGCCAGCCCCAGGCTCCATGGGGAAGTCTGCATGTGCAGCCCAGAGCTGGCTGGGGATTGCCCGAAACAGGAAAGTCCCCAACCACTTTCAGGCTGCACATGCAGACTTCCCCACACAGCCCAGGGCTAGCCAGGAACTGTCCCAATCTGGGGCAGGTCCCAGCCAGCTCCAGGCTGGGCAGGGAATTCTCCCCATGCAGGGACTCCCTGCCCTGCACAGCTGAATAGCTCACTATAACTAATGTAATGAGTAAGTTATTGAACGGTTGCTCTGTAACACCCACATTTCATTCAGTAACTCTGTACTGGGAGTGTTTCTTCTGTTCACAGCATGCTGCTACCATCGTTGCCTTACAGATGGCACTCAATGTCTTCAATGGGAAACTGCCTCCCTACAGTGCCTGCCATTTTTTTGAACTTTACCAGGAA